GGAATGCCTGGGGGCTGCTTATTTTATTTCTTATTGGGAGGACAAGGATCATCCTACTTTGTATAGTAGGTTCAGCTCGTTCTTTCCCTTAAAATAGGAAGATAAGGATATTACCTCCCCCGCCCCGCCCGAGGCCTCATATGATACTCCCCGTTCTGAGTCCAGAACACCCAGAACTGTGGAAATTGGCGACTGCCATGTCCGGACTGCGAGTAAGGCAAGAGGAAGCTTTTCTGTCTGTTGTCCCCGCTACTGCCCCTGGCATCCGTGATTCTGAACCCCATGATAAATCCCCTTCGAACCCTTTTCCTCTTTTTGATGCCGATCCTCTTTTATGGGACTCCAATTGGCATTCTGATAATTTTTCTCAACCCAGGTATGCCCCTCTACCTGTTCAGCATCCCTGGGCACCTCGAATTGCCTTTTTATGGTGGAGAACATCGGGCATGGCCACCGCCGCTCCTTTCTCTCGGTATCAATGTAGATTCAGACATTCTGCTTTGTTTACCTCCAACCTGACTATTCCTATACAGAGCTGTGTTGAGCCTCCTTACACGCTGTTAGTGGGAAACATCAGAATTTGGATGAACAATCAAACTGTCCAATGTATTAATTGTCATTTTACACACTTGTGTTAACTCCCACTTTGACTCCAGGAAAAGAGTAATGTTGGTTCAAGTTTGAGAAGGAATCTGGATACTGGTAACTTTACCCAGACCTTGGGAATCTTCCCCCTCAGTACATTTAATTAATGAAGTGTGATAACAAATTCTCAAAAGATCTAACAGATTTGTTTTCACTTTAATTGCTGTGATCATGGGCCTAATTACAGTCACTGCACTGGCCACCACTGCCGGAATGGCGTTACATCAATCTATTCAAACGGCTCATTTTGTTAACGATTGGTAAGCCAATTCCACCCAAATGTGGAATTCTCAATAAGACGTTGATCAAAAATTCGCCAATCAAATTAATGATTTAAGACAGTCTGTCATTTGGCTTGGAGATCGGGTAGTGAGTCTCGAACATCACATGCAAATGCAGTGCGATTGGAACGCTTCTGATTTCTGTGTCAAACCATATTCCTACAACAGGACTGATCATTCATGGGAACTGATCAAAGGACACCTTCTGGGTAAGGAAGATAATTTATCCTTGGACATAACCAAAGTAAAGAAAAAAATTTTCGAAGCCTCTCAAGCTCATTTATCCATTGTGCCCGGAGCTGAGGCATTAGATCAGGTGGCAGAAAGTCTTTCTGGACTAAACCCCACGACCTGGATTAAGTCTGTTGGGGGCTCCACTGTGATAAATTTTGGAATCATGTTTTTCTGTTTAATGGACTTGCTTTTAGTGTGCCAGACCAGTCAGAGAATCTTGTGTCAAAACCAAGAGAATGAACAAGGCTTCATCACCATAGCACATTTATAGAAAAAGAAAGGGAGAGATGTTGTGGGAAGTCAGGGACCCCAAACGGAGGGACCAGCTGGAACCATGGCAGAGGAACACAAATTGTGAAGATTTCATTTTAATATGGACATATATCAGTTCCTAAATAATACTTTTATAATTTCTTATGCCTGTCTTGACTTCAATCTCTGAACATAAATTGTAAAGATTTCATTTTAATGTGGACATTTATCAGTTCCCAAAATTAATACTTTTATAATTTCTTTTTCTTTTTTCTTTTTTTTTTTTTTTAGATGGAGTCTCGCTCTGTCACCCAGGCTGGAGTGCAGAGTGCAATGGTGCAATCTCGGCTCACTACAAGGTCTGCCTCCTGGGCTCACACCTTTCTCCTGCCTCAGCCACCCGAGTAGCTGGAACTACAGGTGCCCAACACCATGCCTGACTAATTTTTTTTGTTGTTGCATTTTTAGTAGAAATGGGGTTTCACTGTGTTGGCCAGGATAGTCTTGATCTCCTGACCTTGTGATCTGCCCGCCTCAGCCTCCCAAAGTGCTGGTATTGCAGGCATGAGCCACTGTGCTTGGCCTACTTTTATAATTTCTTACGCCTGTCTTTACTTCAATCTCTGAACATAAATTGTGAAGAATTCATTTTAATATAGACATTTATCAGTTCCCCAAATTAATACTTTTATAATTTCTTATACCGGTCTTTACTTTAATCTCTTTATCCTGTTATCTTCATAAGCTGAGAATGTACGTCACCTTAGGACCGCTATTGTGTTAACCATACAAATTGATTGTAAAACATGTGTGTTTGAACAATATGAACTCAGTGCACCTTGAAAAAAACAGAATAACAGCGATTTTCAGGGAACAAGGGAAGACAGCCATAAGGTCTGCCTGTGGGGTCAGGCAGAATAGAGCCATATTTTTCTTCTTGCAGAGAGCCTATGAACAGACGTACAAGTAAGGAAGATATTGCTAAATTGTTTTCCTAGCAAGGAATATTAATAATTAAGACCCTGGCCAGGTGCGGTGGCTCAAGCCTGTAATCCCAGCACTTTGGGAGGCCAAGACGGGTGGATCATGAGGTCAAGAGATCAAGACCATCCTGGCTAACACGGTGAAACTCCGTCTCTACTAAAAAATACAAAAAACTAGCTGGGCGAGGTGGCCGGCGCCTGTAGTCCCAGCTACTCGGGAGGCTGAGGCAGGAGAATGGCCTGAACCCGGGAGGCGGAGCTTGCAGTGAGCCAAGATCGCGCCACTGCACTCCAGCCTGGGCGACAGAGCGAGACTCCATCTCAAATAAAATAAAA